TTTTCATCAAATTTAAAGCCATAACTGACTGAAATCATTGAAAATATATTTGCTAGGATCACTTAGAATTATGGCTAATATCATATTGTTGGAATAAAATTAATAGTGTAATCCGCAATTTCAAGAAGTTAAATGGGAACATCACAATAATTACTTCATATGACAGAATAAGCACTGCTAAATCGGTCCTGCAGGGCTTGGATGCTAGATTAAAGGCCCTTCTCGATTATAACAGATAAGCCATCATAACAGAGATTAGGACTCGTCCTTTCAGCTACCCCATGCTAACCGAAATAATGAGATCAGTTTCGCCAACGCAAATATTCCAAAAAGCAGTGTTCTCAGAGATCACATGCAATGGTACCGCTTTTGTTCTCGATGAACTTAACCGTACGCGGCTACAAGCATAATTGCGTAACAAGTTTCAGAGTTTCTAGAGATTTAGTGGGCACTAATATAACAGTGGAACTAAACAAAGGTTCATTCATGATGGGTCGCTAAATTTGATTCATTATAGGCTCTAGGATTCATTATATTGCCCTGGGATAATACCAACAAACATTCGAACTCTCCATTGATACCGGCAAGCTGGAGGCTACTGCAGTCTACTTTGGCATCCTTAGGGCCGCCGATCTTTAAAAGCTTCATAGGAAGTTATTAAATGCATTTAGTGTGTCAGGACGACCTCATAGGCGTTAACAAAATAGACAATTGAAGAATAGTGGCCTTTTCAAAAATCAAACGATAGCTGCATAAAGTCACTTGACAAAAGAGATCTAACATCGACAAAAACACGTAAATGCTTTCGGTATCTATGAATCGTCAGACTTCAGCTGGTAGTATTTAAATTTTCTACTTTGACTATCGATAAATCTTACCTTCATATATTTACGATCTGAACAAAATTAAAACATTTCAAGATATGACGAGCATTTCAGTAAACGATGGAAACTCTTCCCAACAATGTCTAACAGCAATAGCATGTGAACATTTTAGAGAGTAGCAAATAATTATAATCAGCCTAAGCTTATTCCACAGCCTGACAGATTGAATTCAAGGTCAAACGTGTATGGTAGATGATTGAGTGTTACGTTCATATAAGGTACGTATGGAAGGAATGCATACGACCTTTTTTCAACAAGGGTAGCAGAAAGCTTGATTAGCTATTCTATAAACGTATTTATTCAGTACTTTATTGGCGCCTATTTTAGGCTTCTTGGTTTTTTATTTAACACATTCTTCTGCTGCCATTTCCTGCACAGCCCTCAGCTCTTGGTATGGCCTTAAAGCTATAATTTTCTATGTCAATCAATTTTATTCACGGTCATTTTCGCACAGATACGGGCAAAATGATCACGTACCGTTGGCCAGAGCGTGTTCACCAAAAGGACCGTTCACGCTAGTTCCGACGTGCACAGTCACAATCCAGTTAATTACCAGGCTACGAGACGCTGAGTCGGTGGAGGTAACAGCGACGGCGTTCGAGCTTACCGTATAGTCAACTCCAGGAACGACGAAAGACGTCACGTTCGCGGGTAAACTACAATGACAGGCGTAATTCCTATCACGATAACGAGCGGCACGTTTCAATGGAAATTCTCCACTTCTCCTGTCGTAAAGGCGACTGACCGCCTCTTATCACAGAGTACGAGGAAAGGCGAATTAAAAATTAGAGGCACTTCGTTTTTGCTGTAGTTTCTACTTTTGTCAACATACACCGAAATACACTTACTATTCAAAGAAATGGAGAGACTGTTGTTGTTCTAAATGACCAAATACATAGGCGTCATTGATCCGTTATCAGCTCGATAGTTTCCGATTCAAAAGAAAATCCTTGAAAGTAGGATTCTATTGTTAACACAGCTTTATCCATTGTCACTTTTGTTGTTTTCCTAATCTTCAACGTACAGCTTTCGATATAGGTTAAAGTGAATTAAATAAAGACGACATCTAATTCTTTTCCATGTGCAATATCTATTACATTATAGATAATGCTTACCATCGTGAGTAAGCCCAGAGTGCTACGTATATAGATACAACAAGACCGTGGTGGAAGCTTGTTCTCTCAGACAAAATGAAATCTAGGGAAAAATTAGGTACTATGCACTAAGTTAAATTTCCATTTTTAATTCGTTGGCTAGTAAGTAACATATATATATATATATATATAATACATATATAACTTGTATTACTGTTTCAATCAGAAAACGGGAAAAAACACAGTTTCTTATTGAATCAATTTCTTCTAATGAGATTGCTATACGCCGCTACCAAAATGAATCTTTCGTACTGGCTTCAACTAAAAGACAATAAGAAAAAACAAAGCTATCAATTTTAAGCACAAGTATTCTTATAAATTTATTATTACATTTTATTATTATACAATGAATATAGTAAACTGCTATCCGCTATGTGGGGGTACTAGAAATGTCTGACATTCCGAATTCTACCAAAACATATCGAGACACATTTTTACCAATGTTATCTATATTGTGTTAATTTTTGATAAAATTACTTAAATTAATGCATGTATAGATTGTGCCAGATCAGATCACGAAGAGGTCACGTGGTTTTTCTCATATTTATCATTACATTTTTTTTTTTTTTTAATCATATTTATCATCAAGCGAAGCACTTTATTTACATATGTACAGTTTAAATCAACCAAACACACAGTGGAAGGAAGTGTCGCTACTACTACGGGGCATTCGGGCTGAAAAATTCAAGCTTTTTAACTTCTATGAACGTACGATATGCACAATAAAGCATTCGCTGCCCTAAGGGACTACGTCGTTTGCAACTGGGTGGGCGAACCTGGGGATTACTTGCTAGATGCGGTGGCATTCTGTTGTATTCTTGTTGCAGGCGCCGCAAAGCACTTCTAAGAGCCTTCTAATAAAACACGCTATATATAAAACTAGCGACTTCTGATCCGCTTTGCGACATTTTGCAATCTTAAAAACTCCGCACGGCTTGTAACGACTGTGGTGACATGGCCTCCATAGGAATTGTTCTAGGGGTACCCGTGATAGCCTTGTGGGTAATGTATTAATCTTGCGGACACGTTGTGGTCAAGGCTCGGACCCTGGCATAGATAAATCAACAGACTTCGTTTCGTCAGACAGGGAACTAGCAAGTCGTTTGTCTGATGAGATATTTAATGGAAAAACCGAACGTAAAAGTCGAAATATAGAGGAGTTACTCAGTTACACATTTTGACAAGCTCATACGTTACTCTTTGATTCTAAGGATCAACTAACTGGACAAATCTAGATTTTCTCAGCTTTACGGTTTTCAAATTTCAAATTTCATTTTCAAATTTACGGTTGATGACAGAGCGAGCCAGAAACATTTATAGAAGGAATAATACAGTTTAATCATATTGAGTTAAAGCTATTCGGACGAGGTCTTTGTATTGGTAACTCAACAGTGTTAACGTTTTTGAAAACTTTTCTATTTGGCAAGCGTTTTTTTTCTATGTGAGCTTTCTTGTGGTACTAAACCTACAGACATAATAAAGAAAAATTCATCTGCAAGAGTTACGTGTGTTGATAGATTTGATCTGAATCGAGAAATTTATTGATTGGTTAAGTGCTAAGTACATTTGTAATGATAAAACAAATAAACTATATGTACTTGTCGAGTTTTCCACTGAATAAGTTCTTCGTTTGTAATTACGACGATGTCAAATGCTCGAACTGGTGTTACAGGAAATTCTACTTCTGTCGCTGCCATCGCCTTTCGGCCCGCTAACGCAGACGACGATTTGATTTTATGCCGAGCCCGTCTGGCTTTTTCGAGCGATCTGAATCATAACACTTGACTTCTATGTGGCATCATTGATGTCAGGTATGATAAACAGGTCAGCCCGGATCTGAATCCAGTTAGAAAATGTTTTGACGAATGTGTCAGTTTTTCTGTTGTCAGAATTAGTTGTGTCATATGTAAGGTAAGTGATATGTTACTGTGGTGTACGAAAGAAAATCAAAGACATATAAGGACTCACCTGTTCCGGTTGTTTGGGGTCTATGGAACTTCTCGAAGAAATTTATTTACGACATCATGCGAAAGTTTAAAAAATCTTTCTGAAGAAATGGTTATCTGGGCGGGTAAGCATGGCCGGTGACAGAAACTAACTATAGCGGTGTGAGATCGAACCCTGTCGCGTAACAAAAGAGACTTCACCCGGTTCATTAATCATGGCTGCTTAAAGCTGAAGTCGTTCATCATTATCTATAGTACACTTTAACGGGTCGCAATTGGTGAAGTAGAATATGTTACTGCTATAACATTAGAGCATAGTGAAGTGAGGTTTTTATTCTCCGCGGCATCTGTTTGTCCAGCTCGCTTAATGTATGCGACCATGGTGCTCTTACGTACACCAAACCTGCGTGTTAATACCAAACCTCCTTGACATAGGTCGGCTTCTGTCGTAGTTCTTAATTTTTCGACAGCGGATTTTTCCACGAGAGTCGATTTTTTATGAGTTCCTTCTTAAAGTTTTTTAAACCAAAGACTCACGGCATATTTTTCTAATGGAATTTCCGATTCGAATGAATACGCATCTCCTCATCGCTTTTGCTTTTCTAGCAACGGATATCTTTGGAAATAGGTGTTGGCCTTGACTTGTAGCGGGTTAATCTACCTTTATATCAGGAAGTTTACTGCAGTTGAGCGCATTCAAACGATTATTAGAATAACGTTATCATCATTTGCTTTGTTTAGTTTTTCAGACGCGAGCCACTATTTTTTTCCTCACAACCGTCGCTCATAGGTCATACAGTGGTAATGATAAGTCAGCGATTGTTATTTTCCGCAAAATTCGCTCTTTTTTCAGCCTCGGTGCCCTTTAGGAGCGCTGAACTGCTATATTCGTATAACCGCAAATGTTCCCTGTGCTCGCTGCCGTTACCTGAAATGAAGACAAGTAGTGAGGTGTTTATTGATGATACAGCGATAATTTATCTCTTAGACGCTCGGCCAATCTAGGTCACAGCCAGTACTATATTCGATGTAGTCGAATTCCTGTAAAAGCTGCGAGTATTTAGGTCCACTGGGCCCGTTATTCAGCCCTTGACAACGGCTTATTTCAAACACTGACGACAACAGATATTACCGGGGCAATGTGTTTCGGCAGTGTTGGTTGAATGGAGCATTTCAGTGTCGTTTAATTTTCGTTCGGTTATCAGTAAAATTGCATGTGAGGGCCATATGTATGACTGCGGTGGCAAAAATGATCCAGGTATTATGGAACATCTACTTTCGTATAAGAAGCTGTTTCACGCATCGCAGCATTGAAACGATGAAACGTACTCGTTCCATTAGAGAGGGGAAGATACGAAGTTCATTCTCCTGAAGTTGCCAAAATTGCCTCAATCCGATTGCACATACCACCAGCACCGTAGAATATGTCGAACGCATATCAGCATGTATAAATACTCTCCGATATATAACTCTACAATCAGCTGACTACAGTAATTCAGAGAACGTTAGATAGGGAGTATCATGGATATGAGATACACTTGCAAAATCATTTTCTCATGATATTCTACCGGTTAGGAAAGTTCTACTATATCAGTAACTTTAGTTTGACTTTTCTCCCTTCGTTAACTTCTGTCGCTCTTGCTTGCTATTGCTGCTGCTAGTGCGTGAATGACGTGTCGTAGATAGCCTACGGCATTAGATGCGAGCTTAAGGGGCGCATAGAACAGTGAGAACTGAAGCCTGACCAATTGCTCTTAACGATAACTACCGCAGGAGCGCACCCCTGACGACAAGGCAGGAGCGGTCGGAGACAGCTTAAGTTAGTCGGCGATAGGCCTAGAGCCAGGCAATCTCAAAAAAACTCGCAATATGGGTTGGTCACTAGCCAATACTGCAAGGTATAAAATCTTGATGGCTGGCTTATCTAGCCGACCGTCATGTCCTGGCCTATTCGAGGGCTGCGACATTTCCACTTGGATTCGCTCGAGCGCCTGGGGGTCTCCTGGGGTCCTTCGCGCCAGCGACTTCACGGTATCCGACTATCGTCCTCTGGGACCTCTGCCGCCTGCAGTTAATCAGGCGTAATGAGGCTCCTGCATCCAAAGTAGTCAGTGATAGCCATTTTGTGTGTGTTCAAACGGCTGCGTATGGGTAAGCTAGCAGGTGGCTTACCGCAGAGAGACACGCACAGGGGGCCCATTCCACTCAGAAAGCACTGCTTCGTAGTTGACAGTGACAGTACGAATCTCTTCTATGCTGCCGCAAGAATAAGAGTGCGTCAGCTGCCAACGGTTACATCAAACAGTAATGAACCATTCGCAGAAGAAATTACGATAGGCGGCACGTTATTATATATATATATATTGTTTGTCACGTTGATGTTAGTACTTTTATCGACATAACAAATGACATTTTTTCTATATATTATTATATGTATTAGCTGTGCAGCAAACTCGACCAACAGCCGGTCAGCAAACAAGCAGAAGTCTGAGGGAATTTTGGAGGCAAAAAATGACCACAAGATCTTGTGTGAATCATATCAAGGGTATAGCAACAAAATTTGGCAAGCTGACCTTCAGGAGTCGCCAAAAATCTATCAAGTTGATTACATTATCCCGGTGATTATCTAGCATGGAATTATAGGTATGGCAATAGAATAAGTAAGTTACGGAAGTTAAGGGACGGTCACAGGTATGGTCAAAGACAAAAACAGATTTAAGTGTAACGGGCATCTCTATAATGGAACGAAGCTACGAATAGTATCGCCGGCTCTAATCCTAATGCACAAGCTATGTGACATTCATAGCTCAATTATCTGAGTGCTATTCTTCTCCTAAACATGTAAACCTATACAAAGGGCATAGATTTCTGCAACGCAAGGGATGTACACCTTTATGGAGAACAGACTTTGGAAGAACAGAGTGAGAGTTTAACTCGTAAAAGCTAATAGATAGTGAACGCTATACCTAGGTAGGACGCAACATTCTACTTCGGACAATGACCGGAAAAGGTATTCAATTTTGTATCTGACGCTTACACGCGGCTGCAAGCGATTCTGTGCACGGCATGGTATGTGCGTGCTTACTGTATGTGTATTTATGGCTAAGTATAACTTGGTAAGACACATTCATGAAACCTTATACAGAAAGTAGCTATTGCTACCAAACAATAACTTCGTAGCTTCAACATGAGAAACATAGCTCTAATTATGACCACGCTATCGAACTCTAATTATTATAAACAGCGAGTCATTTACGTAATTTCTAAAAATAATTTTTGCACAATTTCAACCAGTCAAAGTTCTTCTGGCTCAGCATCTTAGGATAAACTAGTAATGATATATCATTTTACTGTATCTGTGAACGTGAGCTAAAGTTGAAACGTTACTTGCTACTATGCCTTAAATTAAAACATAGCTTTGTCGAGTCTCTGAGTAATGGATATAGCCTTTTCGAAACATACGATCCTGGCTCGATCGTTTTCGTATAGCCCTTAGCTGTTGCACGTACTACATTGCTGAGGAAAGTTCCCGTGCTCGATGGGTGAGAATCCTAAACAGTGCCTCGTATATATACACGGAAAATATCGAAGCCACGCTGTTATGGAAGACGGTCGTTAAGCACTGCAATAGAACAAGCTTTTGCTGACGAATAAGATATTACAAGAGCTCGCTGCCGCGAGAAGACTCAGCTTCTAAAAGACAACAATTGTATGGGAAGTCACTGTTGCCGGAAAGGTTAAAAGTCAGGGCGCCTCACTCGCAGTTTCTTTGAAAGAATCTTTCCTGCGGTCTGCAGCTTGGTTAGCGTTCATGACTTGCATTACGGTCGGAACCGACCAGAGTAATTTTTAAGTTTACAGTGCTGATTTATGAGTTCCAAGGTAAGTAACAAAATAATTGTGTTTGTCATAAATGTCCGACAAGCATGAATTTCCAAAAAAAAGATTCATGTAAATTGTTTGTATTTTTTGTCGGTGTCTTAAATGAGGTGCACATTTGCTCCATGGTACGGTTCACGATCGTTTAATCATGTCCACTCTCGTTACGTCTTCAACGTCTTTCTACGCTACGGTCGTGTAAACAAACAAACCGGTAAAAGTATAATCTTTTTGCAATGAATAGCCATCATTCAATGATTCTTAGCTGATTTCCTCTCAGCAAGTGATGAGTATATGCGGTTTACTGAAACAGTCCTGGTGTTTCGATCCAGATGTACACCAATGTACATCCTGTCGATCACAGGCCCAATGGTTCAAGCAGGACTAAGAATACTTATAGTCAAATAGCGTTATACAAAGTAGCTTTAAACCTATGGGATTCAAATTTGGCACCCGGGGTCTCTTACTTGTTTTTTTTATGACGACCATTCTGCTGATGCGCGGAAGCAGGGCAGGAGTATAATAAATCATGATTGTATAATAGACAATAGGCGAACTGGGAAAATATTCATTTTGTCGGAGTGTTTCTCTTGGCTTAAAGATGGCTTAATGTCAGACGTGATACAACAAGATGACAGATTTATAGATGACATATTCTTTTTAAAACGATGTTCCTACACTGTGTTGTCATTGCGTTTTCGTACGGCGTTTCGGCAGAAAAATAGTGGAAATGATTTCCTCATTTGCGAGTATGGACGGCCCTATAATTCAAGACCCTCTGTCTGATGTAAGGGTTTCCGTTAGAGCTTCACTTCGACTTGAAGGTCGCGTGGCAGGTCACAACTTCAGAATCAAATGGCTCCATAATTCAGCACATATAAACGAAGCTGAAGGCATTCGTGTGAGTAGCACCATGAAGATTTTCTTCTTCGACGTGTGCTGAGTGCAATGTAAGCTGTCTCTCGACGCATACACGCGCAAAATAAACTATAATTATCTTCTAGATAAAACATTTGTATTTAAACAAATTAAAACCAATGATCATGGAAACGTATGATATGCACCAGAATAGTCTTTACAAACTTATGTAAACATACAATGACTAGTATACAATAATAGAAGGCCGTTTAATTTAGAAGCGTACGGCTCTAACCTTACTTTTTTAAAAAGAGCCGTATGAATTTGGGCTTTATAAATTCGTTTGTTAAAATTGTTATTATTTGAGCTGCGATTATATAACTATTTAAAAAAAAAAAACTGCTTGGACCAGAACTTACTAACTGCCTTGCTTAACATACTCCGTTACTAATAAACGATACATGCGTTCTACTGGTAAACTTCCTAAGTGAGACTCAGCCGAATTGTCACTTCCAAAAGCCTGACTTTCAGTCCAACTTAAAATTCGTAGCTATATATACAAGTCTTACGATCGCACCCGTTTAAGGAGACTGGCATCAACTAGGAGTCCTGTGATAATCTCATCTAATTTAACGAGTATATAAGAATAAAAAGACAACGTTGATGATAAAATACTGCATGAAGGGCAAGGAGTTCTTAATAGATTTGCGTTGATACCTCAGAGAAGGCACTGCGTTTTGAGGTAGAAGAGGCCTATGGTTCTATTCCTGAGAGGATTTCGAAGGCTCTGTAGATGAGATGCAGTTCGCTTCGTGACAGATCACTCTGTACATCAGAGTACATATTCAGAGCGTAAAACAATAACAATGTTGATGCTGATAGGAAAAAAAAATTGACGTTGATAGTCCGAACGGCATCACGCTGGCTCGTTGATGTTATACGCCCAAGCCACAATCGCGTAACTAGTTATCGGTTAAAGAAAAAGGGATCTGTAAAGATATAGAAGCACGTGTTGGAGGGAAATCCGTGGCCGAAGACTAAATAGCATATAAATGCGGTTGTATCACTTTGGACGTAGTTTAAAGAAATATATTTCTAACTATGTAAGTAAGCACTATGGATACGTGCTCGGCCTAAAGTCGTTTGTTTAAATGTCAATCCAAAACACCTTGAGGATAAGTTTGATTAAAC